AAAAGAATTGTCAGATTTGGTATGGGTACGACAATTTGCTGAAGACTATAAAAGAGAAAGAAAAAGCTAGAACTCTGCATTCAGATGGTTTTGTAAGTGTCTTTTAAGATGGCATGCATCATTTATAATGAATCTCCATTTCACCAAACTGTTCACAGAATCAACTACTACCGCTTTTCATAACTCTACAGAAAACATCTGTGGTTTTGATAAACCTAGTAGCTAACAACTATTCTGTGCGAGGCACTTGCTGAATGTTTCTTATAAACTTGAATAACGAAAGAATGAACCAACACAGCACGCTCAGACAAGCATTTTGGAACTTTGCTAAAATACTGGTTCTATTTTGGCTAGTGCTGGCTTTTAGAATATAAATTTTGATGCACAAATATCTTATCTTGTTTCTAATCTGGCTTCTGTTAAACAGTGTGAAAGAGAAATTATTTCTACCTCTGGGCACATAAAATGTCCCATCATGGGAACAGAATCAAACACGCAACGGCTCACGGCTCGGACGCAAACAGCACACAGCTAGGCTAGCAGGACAAGAATCAGACATATAACCTTTCTCCTGGACTGCAGGGCATTAACAATGCCTGAAAACACACGGCTTCAGCAAGTTTGAGCAACATGCCGTATGATGAGAATTGTTAGATAATTTCTAAGTCAATAGTTGAGAAGCTCTGGGCCTGGAAATGTTCGTGTCTGCGTTGATTCCCAGATATGCCACCCCCACTGGTTTGTTGTGGTTTTTTTTTTAAGATTTTATTTTGGGGGCGCCCAGGTGGCTCAGTTGGTTACAGATTTTATTTTTTAGTAATCTCTATGTCCAACATGGGGCTCAAACTTACAACCCCAAGATCAAGAGTCGCGCGCTCTACCGACAGAGCCAGCCAGGCACCCCCCCCCCCATACCCCCACCAGACTGGTTTTCATTTTGGGTATGAAGATCGACAGAAAAACAGATCTGTGAGAGACAGTCCCCCAGTAAGAAGAAAAGTGAAACCAAGGGGACTGGTCACTGTTATTTACCAACATGGCACATCTGAGACAATGATGAATCATGGACCAATTTCATTATCGAGAAGGTCTTAATTATAATCAGTAGTGATTTAACCATTCACAAGGGCCCATTATCGGTACGACACTCTCAAGTGCCGTCAGTATTCACTGTAATGGCGTTAGAGTCCTAAACGTGGATCTGTCTGCATGTGTGGACATACGGGGTGAAGAGCAGGAGAAGACATGAGTTTATGCAGAAATATGCCAAGCTCTGGGTGCCTCGCTTTGCAGGTTACTTGCTTTTTTTCTTTCATCCTGGCACAAGCATTTTTGCTTCCAAGACTCAGAATTCTCTGCCAGCCAAACATGATTATGCCTACCTAACCCAAGGGTTATAGTAAGAAATAATACAGTTAAAACACAAAACATCTCAAAGCCCAACTCAGTGCAATGCAATCCGCTTAACAAACAAGTCTTTGAGTTGCCTCTGAACAGTCCATTCCAGCAGCTGTGCGGCCAGGATAAAATGTCTGATTCATGTTTTACCAGAGAGCTAGAGGGGATCTGAGATCATCCTAGGCCACGTCTCCTCCTTCCACAGACGCGGAAACCCCATAAAGACCCCATAAAGGTGAGCAGCTGGTGGCAAAACCGAGTCTCATCAATTCTAGCACATTCTCTGTCCACAAGGCTGATGCTCTGGCCCTCAGGACTGCGACCATGTGACCATGATAAAGAAGATAGACAGGAAGAGAGCTTCTCCCATGTGCCCGGTACTGGCTTCCGTACTTTCTCTCGACAGGTCCCTCGGCCCTCAAATCAACCCTGAGATGAGAATGATTACCACCCTCTTTTTGAGGAAACAGAGGTGCAGTGAGATCTGGTGGCTCACCGGGCGGTCTGGCGTAGGAGCCCACAGCCCGCCGCCACGCCCTCCCACACTATGGACTTGTGCATTTCTCCAGCGGACAGCCTGAGAGTGACGGGTGCTGCGGTCACTTTGAACAAACAGACAGAACATTCCGACACACCGCGTGAAACTCAGCATCCTGCCTCTCTTGGCTCCCTCGGTCCCTGTGCCTTCAAGCCTCCCTCTCTGCGCTACCCCTCCTCCTCTCTGCTCCCCAAGTTTTGAGAGCTGCCGGGAGCCCTCTTCATCGGTATCAATGACGCCATTATTCATTGAGCCTGACAAATAGGTCGGTTTCAGGAAGTTCGTGCTCCCCCTTTTACATTTCCTCTACTTCCCATCAGAGAATGAAGGCTTCTATCTCGATGTCTCTATTCAGCATTAAGAAGGAACTGCTATTCCTTTTTTAATGAAGAGAAAGGAAATCAAGTCAGTATGAAACCAATGGACGAACCTCCCGTAATATATTTAGTAGGCAGGTTATTTACAATGAATACAAACAAATCCGGGAGAAGAACCAGCAAGAATTTTACTTTTTGCTAAGGTGGTCACTGGGTTTGCACAATAACAGAGCTGTCCAAAGAACAAGAGAATGTCTCTCTGTGTTCTGTAAATAGGCATTGCTCTTGGAGCCTACAGGGCTGCACTTCTCGTCTGAATGGAACACACTATTTGATGCGATCATGCACACTAAAAGTAGGAAGTTTTAGGCTCTAAGTTTAAAAATCATTTTTATCTTTTTAGATATTTCTGAACATACTAATTTGCAATGCAGAGCTCCAGAAATCTTCAGTTTCACATGTGAATTTTATCATCTGTACTTCATAAAGTTATTTCCATTTAAAAAAAAAAAGTTTGTCCTAGGGCGCCTGGGTGTCTCAGCCGGTTAAGCATCTGCCTTCAGCTCAAGTCATGATCTCAGGGTCCTGGAATTGAGCCCCACACAGGCTCCCTGCTCAGCGGGGAGTCTGCTTTTTCCTCTGTGTGCTCTCTCTCAAATAAATAAAATCTTCAAAAAAAAAAAAAAGAAGCTTGTCCTATATTCAGGGATATGAGTGATATACTGCAGGAGGCTAGAATGGTCTCTGTGGGTAATAAGGGACAATGTGATTCTAGAAGACACAACGAGGAAAAACACCCTCCCTGAAGCATTCTTTTAACCATATCACTGCAACAGCCCCTGTTCTGCACCGATAAGCCGTCTAAACGAAACTCAGTTTCAACCTCAGAATTCTGTTCAGCCCTTCCCGGATTATGCCCTTCCTTGGGTTTTCTATAGCACTCAAAATCTGTCAGACACTTTAACTCAGAATTAGCTCAAAATGTTTACTGTCATTCGTTATGCATTCTTTTGCTTCCCACCTAACTTTGTGATTTTTCAAGGGCTTCCCTGAAGCTACACACACTGTAGGGGTTTCCTAAATCTTCAGGAACCATTCTGAGACCTGCTGGCTCCCTCACGGTTATAGGAGAGGAGTAACAGCCCTGGGCCAGAGCGTGGGATGGATGGTGGGGAGTCCCAGAGCAGAGCGTGAGGAAGGTGGGCTGAGGAGATAAAATAAAGGAGCCTATATGGAGTTCAAGGAGAACAGATTTTTTCTGCAAGTGGTGAGGAGTCCTTGAAAGTATTTGAGAATCGCACAAGCAGAGTTCTAATCCGGGAAGATCTACTTGGCTGTATCCTGAATAACGTCAGCTGAACAAAGAGTGGGCTTTGTAGAGCCACAGCATTTGTTCTGTTACAGTAGGAAATGTTTTACTTTTGTAGTTTATTTAAATCCCAAAGCACACGCCCAACACCAAAATACACACTGTGTTAACATTCAAAGCAGGCTGTTTTAGACACGGTAGAATTTACTGTCTAAAGTGCTAATGGGCCAATAAAAAGACAAATTAATTACAACCAACATTAAGAAGTACTTATTCACATCAATGAAATACATTTGCTAAAGGTGCAGGAATGATGTCTGGAAAGAAAGGTTAATTTACTCACGGTGAGCAACAGAAGAAATTTTCCTAGTTTCAGATTGTTAACTTTTGAAAAAATTATATATCAAATAACTTCTCAACAAGTTTGCTTGATGTGGCCAGGAAAAGGCTGTCATGAAACAGAATTCCCTACAAGCAAGTGATTTCCTTTTGCCTTCTAATCTTGTAAGACCTGCCTTTCCATCCATCCCTCATCACTCTTTTTAAAAAGCAAATGAGAAAGTCCTTCAGCTGATGTTTTTCTAAGTAGAAATGAGGAGAAAACATTCATAAAGACTAAACAAATCTCTTAGGAAATGGGGACACAATCAAAAGGGTAGGAATCAAACTTCCTCCATGAACACAAATGCTTCCCTCCTGAGCCAAAGCAATTGTGATGAATTCCTCAAAAGGGCCAAGACTCACCAAATAATAAAATCAGTAGTCATCTGTGTTCAGTGGAATAGGGATGAAATGCCTCGAGGAAGGAACACTAGCAAAATGTGGGACTGGGTGGTCGTGTTTCCCTGCAAATGTGTAGTTCGTATCACCAGTGACGGTCAGACATGGACAATTCGTATCAGCAGTGACAGTCAGACACGGACAGTTCACATCACCAGTGACCGACCATCAGACATGGACAGTTCGTATCACCAGGGACCATCAGACATGGACAGTTCGTATCAGCAGTGACCCCGGACATAGAAACCCACAGCATCTGAGCTTGGATTACATCAACGGAGCAGTGAATTCCTGAAACAGCGACAAGGAAAGACGTGCACATTAAACCCCTTCTTCATGTGATAATCACACCAGTTAGCATTTCTGGCTAGAGGTGGTGCCCCATTATTTCTAATTGTTGGAACACCTCTGAAGATAGTAATACCCCCTTTACGGGGAAAGAACCTGGCGCCTGAAAATGAACCAACCGGTCCATGACTTCTTAGCAAGTTAGTGGCACAGCCAGATCCTGAAATCAAATCTTGTTGACTTCAAAACCCACATGCTGGAACTGGAAAGAAGGAGTGTGAATTTTATGGGAAAAGCAGAACTGCCGAATAAAGAAAATAGATGAAGACGACTGAGGCCCAAAACTCAAGTGAAGAGAGAGCCAACTTACCAGCATATTTTGTAGTATTAGATTCATCCATGGACCAAAAGCAATAATCAAAGGCAAATACCTGAATGAAAGAACAAATTATTGAACATTAATTAACTGCTAAGAGTAAATCAGACTGCAAAAAAAAAAAAAGATCTGCTGATAAACATGAGGGTTCCTGCTACTGTCTGATTAGGAAAAAAATACTGTGGTTTTGTTGCTTCATTAATCCAAAGCTGCTTTTGCACTAAATTGATGGTTATCTTACCGTACTAGAATAAGTTGCATATGAAAATCATTATTTATCCAGAATGCAAACAATGAGACATCTTAATCAAAAAATAAATTTTTTCAAGATTTTATTTATTTATTTGACAGATAGAGATCACAAGTAGGCAGAGAGGCAGACAGAGAGAGAGAGAGGAGGAAGCAGGCTCCCCACCGAGCAGAGAGCCCGATGTGGGGCTCGATCCCAGAACCTTGAGATCATGACCTGAGCTGAAGACAGAGGCTTTAACTCACTGAGCCACCAGGTGTCCCAATCAAAAAATATTCTTAATGATACATTTAGTCAGAAAAAGAACAACAAACAAAAACAATGACTTCTCACCCAAGTCCACAGTTCCCGCAACTGCTAAAGCCCTTGGCTGGACGCCCATGGCCAAGTAACATGAGAGTGATCAACCTGCATTTGAATCACCTCCTTCTAGCTTCCTGTGATGCTACCACTTACAGCCAAAGCTCCAAACTCCCCACAGGCCCACCTCGGACTCTGTTATCTCTTTGTTTCAGCATGCCGTCTTGGCCCAAGTCTGGTTAACAAACCAGTAACTCTCTCGGGTGCATTTACGTTCTGTAGAGTCACGGAATGGCACTGCGTGTCGGGAAACACTGTTGTGTCCTGCATTGGGATTCTCGTCCTGTCACTGCTTCCGTGCGTACGACCACCACTCGGGTTCCAGCCATCGTTAGCAGGCGCAGAGGCCTACGTTCCCCGAAATATATTCCAAGAAACAGTAGTTTCAGGAGATATTCCATGAAAAACAATTAAAGGCTCTGAAAACGTATCCAGCTAAGAAACCCATTTAATTGCTTAACTTTTTTATTTCTCCAATTCATTTTAGTGAAGAGACCCTTTCCTGAGTAACACCTATTTATTAACATGCCTCGATGCTACTCTTTCTCAGTGTACCCCGTTGGCAAACTCTGCCTCAAAGGGCCGGGGCTCCCTGTTACAGCCTTTCCCCCTGACAGTCCGCACAGCAAATTACAGACCTCCCACGGACAGGAACCCTCCCGTGCTTAATCATTTCCTGGGACTGTAAGCACTGTGCAAACAGAACCTGAGCTCTGACTGGCATTTGAGACTGGCTACGACGAGGCATTCCCCGCTCCTGTCCCCCAGCCTCCTCATGCTTCCGCTGAACTTGTCTGTACCTTGGAATTGGGAGGAAAGATTCCACCCCTCTCTTTGTTCTCCTCCTCATTTACACCCTCCCAAATGCTTCCTACTTCTTAAGGCCCAGTTTGACACATTTCTCTCCCAAGAAACATTTCTCGGCTAAATCCAAGGGAATTATGTCTCTTCTCTGAAATCTTACAATGCCGCTTCTCCTTCTTCTTGCCACTCTCATGCCCGTGAACATGCTTTCCACTTACGAGGTTTGCATGCCTGCTCTACCTCCAGGGGTAGATGAAGTTCCTTGAAGGCAGGAACCACACCCGACTCATACTTATATCCTACAGCATTCACAGAAGCTATTTATGGTATTTATTGAATGATTAATGGTAGTAAGGCCTTGTAAGAAAGCAGGTACCTTCTAAATCCTAAAAAGACTGAACTGTGCTCCGAACAGTTCCAGCCCTATGTGCAGGCCGTCGCAATGGAAGCAGGTATGTACCATGTGCACGGCTTGCACCATCAATCTCAAATCCAAACTCAAATTTTGCTACTTATGCACGCTTACTCGCTCTGGTCTTATAGCAACCAAGCTTAAAAGGAACGGCAGTCTCGGCCAACAGAGTGTGCGGTATTTACCGCATTTCAGGGCTCCTCCGATGACTCGAGACCACACAGGCGAAATCCGGTTCCTCTTTCTGCCTCTGGGCAGCACTGAACTTCGGCACTTGTCCTGAGACATGACAATCTTTTTTTTCAAACATTTCCAGAAAAGGAGATTCCACAACCTTCCTTTAAATGGCATCTTATAACACTTAAGTTCCATTCTCAGGACATTTTCCCTTCCTTTTGACCTAAGTCAACTCTCCTTCCTTTAAATGGCCCAGAGAGGCTATTTTCCATTTTTCTGTGTATCTTCACGGTTTTCCTCTAGAGTCTCAATGAATTCCTCTTAGGAGTTGCTATATTCAGTGAAATACTCATTTATTCCCCCTATGTTGATTTTTCGTACCTACCTACAACTTTGAACCATTTCCTACTTTGCATATGGAGCAAGAAAGCTAAGAAGTTCCATTCGCAGTAGTGCTACTTGAAATAAAATGAATTCCTCCCCAAGTTTTGAGGGTCTACCTCTCAGTAACAATCATTTCCTATTCTGTGCCAACTTCCACTTCTAGCAGTTAATAAAGTCCATTTTGTTCATAAAAAGGGAGATACCAAAGTTTTCACTTTAAGCATCTGTCTCCTAAAATTCAAACAAATGTTAAAACCCCACAGAGTTTTCAAATGAAACAAACAAAACAAAACAATCCGCGGAGGAGAAAAGGCCTGTGACTATACTAGAGGATCCGACTGCTTTTTGCTTGCCAAATACTTAACTCTCCTTGACCTGAATTATGTCTTGAATTTCACAACCTTTGATCACACAGGCATCTGAAAATGGCCATCCTTCAAACCATGGAGTATAGGTTATTATTTTATTAAATATTTACCACTAAGAAGGCTGAAGTGCAGACATCTAAGCGATTTCCCTAAAACTCAAGACAAGTGAACAGAAAAATTCTTATTATTTTTTTCTTCTTTTAATGCAGGCGACAAGTGATCCTCCCTTCCATGAAATTCTGACTGTGGAGGTCCTGTGGCATGAGTTCACACATGGCTTTTTTTTTTTTTAATTTGACAGAGAAAGATCACAAGAAGGGGGGGGAAGCTGGCTCCCCGCCAAGCGGAGAGCCCGATGCAGAACTCAATCCCAGGACCCTAGGATCATGACCTGACCCGAAGGCAGAGGCCCAACCCACTGAGCCACCCAGGCGCCCTCACACGTGGTTCTTTTGGATGCCTCAGTTCTTGTGTATGGGTCTTACTTCCAATGGAAACAATGAGATTCTTGTGGACAGGGGCTATGTTTCATGAATCTCATAGCGCCTGGGTCAGGATCTCATACAGAGCAGTCACTGTATATAGTATTTTCTCAACAAACAAACATAATACCCATAACACCAGGAGAAGGAGCTGAATACAGACACAAGCACAGAACAGATGTGAGAACTGGCAAGAAGCAGCAGAAATCTAACTGCAAGATGTATTTTTAGATGTTTCATTATTTTCATATGCATTTTTTTCTTAGCGCACAATTGGTGGGGGAGGGGGAGAGGGAGAGAGAAAATCTGCAGCAGACTCCCCGCTGAGTGCAGAGCCCAACGGTGATCCCACAACCCTGAGAGATCACGACCTGAGCTGAAATCAAGAGTTGGATGCTTAACCCACTGAGCCCCCCAGGCAGCCCTCATATGCATGTTTTTGAGAGAATTTGGTTCCTTCAATGGTCAAATACAAATCTGGTCACAGGATGAGCATGAGGATCCACGTGGGCACCATTATTCCATGGCTCAGGTGGCTAACAGGTATGGCCACATCATGTATAACTTGTAATCTGCACAGAGATTAGAACAATCATTTGTTGTTAGAACAATTATTTCTCATGATTGTTACTAAAACAGTTTCAAGGGTGTTCAAAATAATTTGTCTTAGGTAGTCCAATCTCCTGCAATCTTGTTAGTCCCATACACTATTCACAAATTATTATCCTTCTTTAAATGGCCAAATTTAATTATAATTCAATCACAAAAGGTTTGTAATGAAAGGGGACATGGTTTTCTTTGGTCTTACAGTCAGTTATGATTTTCCAATACAAAATCCACCAATTAATCAAAAGAGGTAATAAAACCATTTTCTTGAGTTATTTCTTAGAAAATAACCACCTCAAATTAAAAAAAAATAATCACTGTTTTCAAAGCCATCACATTATATTAAAGAAATACGTGAAGACTTCAAAATCATTCCATTAAAAAAAAATAATCACTGTTTTCAAAGCCATCACATTATATTAAAGAAATACGTGAAGACTTCAAAATCATTCCATTAAATTCCTAAATGCTTATTTCATCTATTCATTACGAAGTTAATAGCATTCCAACCAGAGCGTGGGGATGGCGAACTTAACACATACAACTGACTTAAAAAAAGAAATCAAATTTGGAAACCAAGAATTAATTTCCTATTTTGTCAGCGCCAGTCCACACTGTGAGCATTTTTTGTGAAGGCATCCATACTGTCCACGAACCTTTAATTACATACAGAGTCAAAAGGACAGATGCTCTCCACTTGTTTTTAAAATCTGAAAGCCATCGTCTTCACGGTTTCCAAGAAAATTTTACCCTACCTTCTCAAAATCCCACTCCTTCCTCTTGGCTTGCAACTTGTAAAACTCCTACCAGCCTTGAGTTCCCTGCAGCCCGCTGTTCACATCTGTTTCACCTTCACAGCTCTCTTCGAACTGTTAGCCCTGCACCTCTATGATCCCCTGAACGTCCAGTACAGTCACAACAGGCTGTTTTTAATAAATGTGTTGAGTGACACATCCTCTGAGGCAACAGACCCAGGAGCAGGAAGAAACACAGTCAAACTCTGTCCTATCTAAGAGTCCTATCTCTGATGGTATTTCCACAAAATTCAATTTTTAAAAATGCAAGAAAGAATCTTCTGTGTTTCCCTGAAGAACCAGAAGGCATTGGCATTCTAAGAAATGTGGTCTGTAGTCATTTTCTGACCCATAAAAAACCAAACGTGCAGGAACCTGCAATTCCAACTACCTTCTATGCATCCTTTCTAACAGTTAG